AGCACCAAAGAAACCTCCCCCGACGTGTCCTGACCCGCTGCAGTTGTGCCAATTTTGTGGCTACTTCCTCGCCACATTGATATTCGATCCATAACATGCCCTCATGGCACGTTGCCTGAAAGTTACCTGTCTAGAAGGTACCGCGCATATTTCGGCTGTTTTTCATCGCGATGATCATGTATGACCCCATGGCGATTGTTCACCATATGTGGTCGTAACGCTGATCTCTCGCATCACCTACATTTATCGATTTGTTAAGGCTCAGTATAGGCTCTAGAAGACGCGATTCAACAACCGTAGGACTTGTCACTCACCAACAAAAATGTCACTTTCCGGACACTCACCATACCTTCCATTTTGGTTTCTTATGCAGCTGGAGGACTCCAGAGTCTCCTCAGTGAGGCCCTAAAACCGCCAATCCATAGAAAGCTAGATTCAACGCGTATCATCAAGATATCAATATACTCAGTCCGTTTGAGACAGATATTCTCCGCTTCAAGCCCAGCCCATTACGTAACCAAATGCCCTGTGTTATTTTATGAAAGTTCCATTCTTGGGTAGAGTGATCAGTCATACCACAAAAGGCCGATCATGTTTGCCTACATTGAGCTCTGTATCAACGAAGACAAAGCCGTGTACAGCAATCTTCAAGACCCCGGCACTCACCCACGTGCGCACACAACTGAATCGTGTATTAGGCTAGTCTATTCTGTGCAGAAAATGTCCAGATCTCCGCTCTCAGTGCGCGAGTGGAGCAAATTATCAGTCGCCGCTTTCCAATCGCTGACCCTCATGACCAGATATCATCCCAGTGCAACAAAGTTCGGACTCATCAAAGAACGTTCAAGCCACCTTGTTTAGCCGCAATGATGCCCTGTTAGAAAATTTAGTCCTGGCCACAATTCAAGTTGTTCCAGGTGTATCGCTCAAAACGCTTGAAAATTTCTTCCACCCAATCGCCGTGAACTCAGTTGCATAAATTCAAACATCCCGCTCAATCCTGCCGGCTATTCATTGGCATTTTATTATGATTGCATCACCCCATTTCTATTTCATCCATTAAAACATTGCGCTGCACATACTATGAACATGTACTTTGTTCCCCACATGAACAGTATTGTCGTTTGTTTAAATTCGCATTTTGGGGCACTTTTCGAACTCGTTTACCCACACTTGATACGCGTATCTTCGTCTGTTGTTGGCCTAACTGTCGGTCGATAACTGTTAAGGTTTGTTGTACATTAACTGATTTATTGGTGTTCCATCAAGTACAGTGCCTTTACGTCGGGATCACTTTCGTTCTGAATTTAGATCCATTCTTCGGTGCTCGTTGCTCGACTTATAGGTTTTGTCGCTTACACCAGGCTTTCGCCTTCTGTCCCACCTAGCAGACCGTCTCAGCTTAAATATATCCCCTGAATTCCTGACGTCCCCGCAGTTACCTCACGCATACCTTCAATCAGGATGGTTCTCTCGCCAAATATTTAACACTCAGCTAGACACCAGTTCTGGCGGTTATGACAGGCTTTGGGAGGAGGCAAATAAGCACTATCAGGAGCACTATTTCAGTGCAATTCTGAAAAAGAATGCTCAAGTCCAGGGCTTGCGTTAGGAAGAATCGCGTCTTTGAACGGAGAATGAACAGGCTTTTCTTGGTAATTTTCTCCCATATTTTGATTCACAGCTTCTGTTCTAGGTCAGCGCAGCTTTGACATTCCGGATGGCTTCCGTCCACATCCATCACTCCGGAAACCCTATACTGCCAGCCTACCAAGTCAAATGTCAAGCGTTCCACTCCTAACTCCCATGGTGGGTGACGTAAGAAACCTCGGGAACATAAAGGCTAGTGAATTCCAAGCACAGGCTTATTTGATAACTGATTAGAGTGTATACATCTGGAAAAATGTTATCCACGGCCTGTGGGGTTTTCCGTATTTCACTTTAGTTTATTCTACGTTTATTTTCGCAAACAGATGGGTAATAATATGAAAAGAACGGCTGGGGCAGCGCAAGTTGAAGAGCAGACGGGAATGGTTGTGCGCCTGAAAGATTGTCTCCTTCGCTAACGACACCGGCTGTTTAGAAGGCAGAATTTTCAGTGAGTTTTAGTTGTAAAATACGATGATCGAGGCGAATTATAGGCCAGTTGAATGAGTGATATCATCCCTTCCAAGCATCGAACATCCTGCTTTCAAGGTCTTGTGGTATGTACCCGACATTACATACTCAGTTGCTTACCGGGGTTACAGGTGGATGGCAGCCCAGAGGTGCATTCTCCGTGCGGTTCTAGTGAGGAATATTATACAGTTGATGGCATTGTAGGTTTCACTTCATGCTTTTGGTACCGTCTTCAGGAAGAACTGCATATGTGAAATGTACGCCGGTCAAAGGTTCTGAGAAACCAATAAAGTATTCATTGTTTACCATCACTCGCAGTGCTGCTTGAGGACGTCAGTCCCACTAACTTCTTTTCACTTGAGGTGCTGCCCAAGTGCTTAGCACTGTCAAAGAGCTGATACGCTGATGCCAAGCTCAACTACGTTTAAGGCCATCCGTTTCCCGATCAAGTGCCTTCTTGTGTTAACATTAATCACGCTTCTTTGTTTGTTCCGTTTCAGCCAAAGAAGCAATGTGAGAAGGTCGGCCGTCTATCAGGTTTGGCTAAATTTTCTAGAGTCTCCGGTTATCATGTTCCCCTATGGGCCGTAAAATTCTTAATAATATTTGTTTACAATCGAGATCTAATGCCGATTAATATGTAACGTATCCTATCCATACGTCTGTCACTGTGACGTGCCAACTACCATGTCATTACCTGCCTTTCAAATAGCGATACGGTCTTTCATTGACCAAACCTGGGCTCCAAAAAGCTGCCACTGTAGGCCCGTGCATCTCCTAAGAAGAAGTATCCTGGAAAAACGATATCTGTTTGTTCTTCATAATCGACTCCTAGTTTATGCTTTGTACGCATATTCATTCGATTAATTAGCACGTCATGACAGGTACGCTCTACCTCATTGTACCCATTTATAATGGTACAGTATGGTGTGGAGAGAAGTCTTACGGGTGCTTCACATTAGGCGTAGCGTTTTTCAAGAACTTGTTCGTGGCAGGAAAACCTTTCATGCATTACGTTTTTGCTACTCAAACCATTAAAAAACCAATATTACAAGCTTGACATTCAAAAGAACATTTGCTAGCCTTTTAAGTCTGTGAATTCTAGTCTGGCTCCGTTCATCCAGACCCAGTTTACCAGGACAGTCTAGTGTTCGATGCTATTAGTATCAAGATGTTGGAGAGTAAGTGATGCGATTTTCGAAGCTGAAAACGCCGAGGAGGTCAAGGTAGACGGCTGTTCAGCTAGTCCTTGGTTTCTAGGTCGTTCAGCAAAATCCATCTGTTCGTGGGTTCATTTGACTAGCTCTCATCGGTTTTAACTTTTTATTTCGGCCATCGCTCCTTTTTATGCCTCCTGGCACTCTCCGGGAGCTGCTTTTCTCATCTTATTCCTTTCTCTTTGCCCCTCTTCCCAAGCTTCAAACCCCGGGTGCAGTTGCTCCAAACGCCTCGTTCAGCGGTTATTCATTCAAGCTGGCTGGTCTCCGGTCCTTAAAATCATCCGTGACTCCACAATGGATCGATTCTAAGTGTGTCAGTCTCCTCGTTTAACCTGAATCTAGCTGCGACGAGAAAGCTTACCTCATCACAGTTTGCGGCAACCATGATGACCGTTAGGGGCTGTCCAGTAAACTAAGTATGTCTGTACGATGGTGACATGGTACTGCCACATTCAATCTGGCGCCATTCCGGCAAGTATTTTCTTACTTCGCTGACCATCACCTGCCTCTAACTTGAGCTTGTGATTGAAACTACGAAAAGCATTTTCACCGAACCGCAACCGTCTCCGAGACTAGTCCATTCTAACCCGATGAACCTTTCGTTTGGATTTGATCAACCTGGTTCCCTGCTGCAATTTTGGTTTGCCTCCTTCATAAGTTCAATTTTATTGACGGTGTTTATTTGATCCTATGCATTGGCACTATCACCCCATCAAAACTATTTTTCACAAATGACTTGCCAGCAGCAGTGACACCAGTGAATCTACTTTGTTTTAGTTTAAACCATATTTTTTCAGAAAAAACTTTCCATTTGTTGCCACTTCAACTTGTTTCGTTTCATCCTCCATTTTTGCTTTTCGTGACTCTGGCCTCCTACTCAACCCCAAGCCAAGGACGAAGGACTCATATCGGATGCCATATTTTTTGATTTCTCAAAAACATTTGATAGGGTCCCACACGTCCCACTGCTCCACAAACTCGAGTCTTACGGAATTCTTGGAAGAACCCTGCACTGGATCAAGACATTCCTATCAGACAGATTATCCCGAGTGAGAATAGGCTCGACCTACTCCTCTCCAGCGCCGGTCTCCATTGTGGTTCCTCAAGGCTTCGTCTTGGGACCACTCTTGTTTTTGATCCACGTCAACC